ACTCTTCTCCAGCACCACAGCTCAAAGGCATCAATTCTCTTTCTATCATCCCTATTCATTGTCCAACTCTCCGATGCAGAGCATGTAATTGCGAAGACTATAGCCCGGATCAGGCACACCTTAGTCTCCAGCCTGATGACGTTGCTCTTCAGTACTCTTGAGAGGTCCCTTAGAGCTGACTTTCCCAGTGCAATTCGTCTGTTGATTTCCTGGCAGCTGTTACCAAGAGTGTTGACTGTGGAGCCAAGTAAACTAAAACTGAGGTAGGTACTCTTATCTCCATCTTGAAGAGGTAGAAACAAGAAGTGACTGCCCCCAGGCCACATCTCTAGTAAAATGCGGAGCTAGACTTTGATTCTTGAGTCATCTTTGGCTTTTGTGTCATGAAATGTTATAGAAATCAAGGCAAAGGAGAGAGTCCATGTGGTGTAAGTGATAATGTAGACTTGAGAATTCCTGTACTGCTTACCATAATGTGCTTAGGTCTGGGAACAAGAGACCTCCTTGCCAGCCACCTTGAGCAAAAACCTGATGTATATACTCTTAAACTTTCCCTCACCTAATCCTATGTTGAATATCTGGCTTATGCCCCTGCTGTTGCCTGCTCCTCATTGTATGGAAAATTAGGAGTTGATAATTGCATACATCAAAGATCTACACTTTTCGTTCTCTTTCAGGCCTAACAAGCCTGATACTGTACCCTTGAATTGCCAGCATTGCTTAATTCCTTAGATTCCCTTGGCCCTTGGGTTGGATCTCCTGAAAGTGGTTTTGATTCTGTTTCATGCAGAGGAAGCAGGAATTCCAAGGTGAACTAAGATCTTAGGATCAACTGGATTCTTCCCAGGCTTCTGAGATGTTTGGGAACAGTGCAGCAGAATGAACCTTGGGCTTAGAATCAAGATGTACAACTCAGTGTATGACTACTTTGTTTAGGTCATTTAACCTCCCTAAACTTCAATTTACACATCTGTACAAGTAGAACAACAAGACCTTCCTTTTGCTGTGCCAAGATTGGCCAAAGAGTATGAAAGTATTTTACAGAATACAGGGCGTTAGCAAGGTGTAAGCATACCATAAGCCATGCTTAGACAGTCCCACATGACAAATTATGCTTGTTAGACCAAAGGCCAATAAGAAAAACATCTCATCTTGTAC